TTCTAATAATATCGTATCAACGTGAATTTGCCTCTCATTCATCTCGCATTTTGTTTTTAAATTTGACCGTGTGATTAGAGAAACCGGTGACGTCTGCAATACACGGCGTATTAGACATCCTAATGAGCAGCAGGTAACATAGCTCTCAGGCGCTAGTGCTGCCACGCACCTGTAATGAAACAGAGCGAACATTTGAACATGTAAGCTTCCGCGGCGCGATTCCATAAATTCTTGGCTATCCGAGAGATGCCGCGTCGTTGGCTGAGAGGCCGACGTTTCGCCTGACATGTCGCTTCCTCAGGAGAGCGAACATATGTTGAAACCCCTACATCTTATAAAAGTGAATCTTGAAGTACGTATTGTGAAAATAAATACTATTCATTCTGCAAACATCCAAATTAAATACACAAGCATGTGATTTATTTTCGTGATAGGGGCTATGTTAATCAAATCCTGTCTTTGCTTTTATTATTACTTTCTCGAATACGTACGTATATTCGGAGTAATATATGTTATGTATGTATATATATATATATATATATATATATATATATATATATATAATTCAACGGAAATATACGTGTTGTGGTGTTTTGACACCGAAAAAGTGTTTTTTTCAAAACGTCCGTCCTCGTTCGTCTGTCTGGCCGCCTGTCTGGCCGGTGTATGTGAACCACACTAGCGTCTAAAGTGTAGAATTTTTTTCAAATTGAAGAAACCCCTGTCAATCTGGTCTGAGTAGAATCTCTGCCATTTTGAAAAAATATGTATTAATGTTTGGGTGGTACTTTACAAGAAAACTCTGTGATATTTTCCAAATTTTCTGAAAAGTGGCTCCAAACATTTCTTGTAAGAATAGAGGGCAAAACACATATAAAGGTGATGTAGGTCCTATTTTCACTGATAACTGTAATTTTTTGAAAATTGCAAAATATTGAAAATTTTCGGCGTCTTCCTACAACTACAAAATTGAAGATAACTATTTTTCTTTGAAATAACATTTTTTCTTCTTAATTAGTTCTTTCGTTAAACTTATGGACATTTTTAAAACCTTTTAGTAGTTTTCGCGAAATAGTGTGTGCAATAAGTGCAAAATTAAAAATAACAAAACAACCTTTTTTTCAAAAACGATTCCAAATTTTTTCTTTAAACCTACGGTAGAGATAATCCTAAATATGCTCTATAAGATGACATCATTCTGTAGCACTACTAGTTTTTTATTATTATTATTATAAGAGAATCATCATTTCCACAAAACATTCGATGCTATATTTATTTCCAGCGTCTATCAAAATTATCAAAAGCATTCGACGAACAATTTATTTGCAATTATAATAATTAAATTATTGGATTGACTTCTACAGATGATTATTTTTGTTACAGTTTTTGCAGTTTATCTCCTACACTTCTCTCTTCTGGAGCAGATAACAACTGGTGACGTGACATGCGAAGCTCCAAAAGTAAGTTATCAGAGTTACGTTTAATAATAAAATACAGAAAAACTTTGTATCTGATATCGGTTTGTGTGTCTGTGTGTGTGAAAGGCGAAATATCTGCATGAATAAGCATTCTATTTTCCAACGCTAAGATTTCAACGCTTTTAAAAAAAACCCTTGTTTTGAACAACGCAGTATACAACTACTACTACGGGGAAGACTTTCACAAACATTGTCAAATTATCGAGCCAAGTGTTTGTTGTTAGAAACCATTGACATGTGTGCTACTGCTAGATAAGAAAATACCCCCCGTCGTTCATCAAATTGATTTAAGACCAAAATATAGAAACTGTCAGATTACGAAGGAAGGGAATAGCAGGCTCTCACGCTATCTGCAACATTCAGTACTGCAACACACGTTACCGTAGAGCAGATCTCAGAAGCGATGCGATCTGGGCCTTCCCTTAAAACAAGGATTTCGTGCCCCAAAGGCACACGCATTATTTTTCTTAAGTTGTAATCAGACATTTTGGATGTTTTATTACATTTTGGATCTCTACTTCAAAGCAGGGGTTTGCAGCATCCTTAGAAGTTAGATTCTGGTGTGTTGTTATTTTCACTATTAAAATAATGATTCTAAAGATGTCACCTTCGGTGGTCGCGATTGCATTTTCGGAAAATGAGATCTTTTGAGCTCTTTTAACACATTTTTGGGGGTTCGGCTCTTCCGAGAGCTACTTGCTACTAGATAGAATTTTACTTTCGTCCTCCAGCAGAGCCACTAAACTGCTCGCGTCCGTAAAATTTAGGGAAGTATTTCGAAGTAAAGAAAACACTTCAAGTAAATTTCCAGTTTTAATTTCATATAAAATGTGAGGGAACTTGTTATTCACATGTAAGGATGATGGGGAAAATGCTGGTAACTTTCACAAATATGGGGAGATTTGAAGGAAACATGCGGGGTAAGATAGGGTGCGAAATGGGTTAGGTAGGACGTGGATTGTTTTTAAACAGTATTCTCTGAAATCAAATTTTATTGAACCTTATTTTACATTTTTGGAGATTTAGCTCCTCTGAATACCTTTCTCGTAGTCTAGATAGTAAAAAAGGAGAAGATATTTGTGTAATTTTGAATCGACTATTG